ACACACACACACACACACACAGTGAAATGAAATAACAAAAGGAATTATAGCCCGACGTTTCTTATTCTCTCTCTTTCTTCCCCACCCCCCTCTCTCTTATTACCTCTCTCTTATTCTCTCTCTCCTCCCACATCTCTCTCTCTCACTCTCTCGGTAACTTAACTAAGGCAGAAGGATTTGTTTTGTAGCCACCCCACTGTGTAAGAAGCCCAGCGGGAACTTTGAAGAGCCAGCAGACTGCCACAAGTTCCTCTCCTGCTATTTATACCGCGTTGTTCGCCACAGACCGTGTCCCGCTGGTCTCTACTACGACCAGGCATCAGACAGATGTGATTATCATTTTAACGTCAATTGTCATAAGCGGCCCGTGATCGATGTCGTCTTGATGCCTAGGAACACTACCACGGAAGCAGCGCCATCTATGGCCATGCCAAACATCTCAGATGCTGTAGCAGGTATTTATGATCATTGTGCAATTACTCCATACTTCATTTATTAACTTATAAAATCAGTACTCACAGGCATTGATTTTAAAGGTATATGGGCGAAGCGATGGAGAGAAACCCACCTAGTGAACGGCATTCTTGTTTGTTTTCCTCTATTCTTAGGCGCATAACAATTAAAACTGTTTGTTTTGTCTACGTTATAACCTTCAAAACAAAACGTACATTGACTTGTAAGTGTAGTTAAGTTTAAATCCAAGTTTCAAACGAGTAACTCAGTTTTTTACACATTTAAGGCGTCCCTTCTTGTCTGGGTCCAGACGGCCTGTTCCCACACCCGCTTCACTGTAACCAGTACATCGCCTGTTATGGCGGCGTTCCCATGGAGACGTTCTTCTGCCCAGTGAACCAGAACTTCGACTTCAGGGACGGGCATTGTAAGAGGAGAGATAACGTCACCTGCGTCCAGCGTCCTTGGTTGATGCGGGAAGGTCCGGTACCTGTAGGTAAGGTCAAAACATAGTCTCTGAACACAGGGGCCGAAGTACTTAGTCTCTGAACACATGGGCCGTGGTACTTAGTCTCTGAACACAGGGGCTGCAGTACTTAGTCTCTGAAAACAGGGGCCGCAGTACTTAGTGTCTGCAGTACTTAGTCACTGAACACAGGGGCTGCAGT